GCCAGACCGAACTTCCCCGAACTCAAACCTTGTGGGCGGGACTAAGTTCGAAAAGGCACCCAGGCTAAAACTTTGAATCAATTTGACTGGATGATCTGGTGAACTGTAAAGTGCCTTGAGATAACGTGTTGTGAATTGGCGCTATATAAATAAACTGAATTGAAAATAATACCATGCTGTTTAATAACTCTACAAATTGGGACCAAATATATAGTAAATCACAACTTAAGTATGAAAAGCCATACACAGAATTTCAGGCCCCTTTTGAATAAACTTTTTCACATTTTGTTGACTCCACAAAAGACTGTGTGTAAATTCTTCAAATTTTTTACCAACAAAGTATTTGGCCAACTCTCCTGACCTGAACCCCATAGAAAATCTGTGGGATATTGTGTGCTTTGTGCAGAGAGCTCTCTGCACAAAGCATTATGGGATTTGCTGTCATAGCGGGCTGCTCTCGCCATAGGCAGTCACTAACCACAGTGGTGACTAATAACAAAGATGGCACTTTGCGGTGGAGGTTGAGTTATATGTATGACAGGGAGCGAAAAGTAGTGATTTACTGAGTTCACTATATAGTCCCCACTCTATATATGATTGAGGGAATAAGGAATTAGGACAGACGTTTGGACAAAGCCAACATTTATGTTTTTTAATTATTGATTTTGAATAAGTGATTAAATTAGGCAGTGTGTCAGATGATTTCTGATTCTGTAGCAATTATTTAAGTTGACATATTTGATTAATTGAGCGCTTTGTGTGACTGCAACAGAAGTTGACTTTTTCATGTAACCAATACCAGCTGATCGTGGGTCAAAGTTGCATTAAATCAAATAAAATGTTTTTGTTTTTTTTTATTGTGGCATGTGAATTAAACTAGCAGGTACCTGAAAATATGTTTGCTGAAACTTTAATTTGTTGAGGCTGATGTGGAAGTGGTTTAAAAGTAAGAATTTTATAAGCAAAGCAGAAGTTGTCTAACTGACGAAGGTCCCTGAAAGCACCATGGCAATGATAAAAAAAAAATCACCTGTAATCCTACCTACCAGTCTAGCAGGTCTGAATCTAGAGCAACACAGAGAGGAGCGCCTTCCAACAACCGGGCATAAGAGGTTCTACTCGAACACCAGAACCTGGTTTGGGTTCAGAATGTCCCTTCTAACCATTTTGTTCCTTTTGGGGACCGGGCTGACGGTTAACAGTGGTAAGTTTAGGTTTTATTTTGACATTAACTTCATGTTTTTAAAAGTAAGAGCAAAAGTTTTAGTGAGAATTGTTGTGAATCCTGAGTTATATATTTACTGTTAAACTTTGAAAATATGTTTGTTAAGCTCTAGTGATGTAGAATAAGTTTATAAAATGGAAACAATCCTGCTGTGGACAAAATTCAGCCATCTGAAATAACCAAGAAAATTCACCTGAGTGCCACCATTGTTCCTGTTCATTACTTCAGTGTTAATACTTATAGTAAATCATCAATATGATTCTCTAGCTCATAATCTAATAAATTCAGATGTAAATATCCTCATAATTGTTTTAATATATAAACGAGGCACTAGAAAAACACCTACATTTGGGTCATAGTATGGGTACTATACCCATACTATGACCATTTTACTTGTTAATCTTCTAGGAGACAGAAATATATATTTAAATTTCACAGATTTTCCTCCACCGTGACATAAAGAGCTGTTCCAGGAAGCCATAAAGGCATTTTGATGGTTTCAATGATACATAATAAAACATAAGTACAGTTGCAAAGTTCAGCAGTTGATTTAAAAAAACAACCTTTGAACAGTATCATAAATCTGTTGTTTT